CATTTCTAATATTTTTATTACAAAAATCACAAAGTCATCCCATGAGGTCTCCCATCTTATTAAAACATGGAACAGAATTACAATGATAATAAATCTAAAGGCATAACTCTACAAAACTGGACTCGGCAAATGATCGTTCAATCATATTTTCAGCTTACCATTTGATTTGTCATTTTCGTTTTTTTCGATCACCATCGAATTTCAATAAAAAGAGCATATTGTCTCAGATACATCCCCTGTTTTGATTGTACGATTCTGTCAATTCGTCAATAGACCAATCAAATAGCTTTAAAAAGAAGGACTGTGAGATTTGTTCAATAATAAAATATATCAAAGTTCATCAAAATAAATTTTTAAAGTGATGAACTGTTATTAAGAAAAATTGAGTTAAACACAATTTAAACAAATTAACTGAAACGAAACTGTCCACTAGCACTCACTCTGAATAGAAATATTTGAAAAAATACAGAAGACATAACACTCCTTTATTGTATCAAGCTAATGGACTGTTTTTCAAGGATTACTAAAGGTAGGAACATGCAGTGATGGCAAAAGTTACCGAAGATTCTTTCACTGTCGGTTCGTTCGAAAGCATGGAAGATGACCTCGAACTGCAGGAGTCGCTATAATGCTCTGGTAGTATTTTTGCACTGAAAAATCCCCAGATTGACAAAACTGTATTCATAGTAAGAGCTAGTACTCTTTTCTGTTAATTTGCAATAGACATACGATAGTAACAGTGAAGCGCGTTGCCAATGAAAAATTGTTGATAAAAATATTACAGCCATTGACGAAAAGTATTATGGTAACATTTTTCCAGTCAAGATAATTTTCCCCTTTGTATGGAAAGCATGGCGAATTTATGCTAGTAAGCCAGTTTATTAGTAATGCGTCTACCCTCCTTTTCAATAAGTTTTAAAAGCCTTTTAAGCTGATACGTCTTGCCTACCATTCATCATTGCGCATGTCTGCACCAGCAGTTGCGATATCCACCGCTTTTGCTGCAGCCGCTGCCTTCGCTTCAACACACGTCGAACGATGTCGCTTAAGGGAATAGTCTGATGAAAGCGCCCTTAAATTAGTTATATTTAAATCGTACAAGCAAATAACAGATGGCTTACAATGTATGTTTACTACGCAGACATTCTGGGTCAGCTTCCTCGTCAACAGGATATGATATGTCGCAAGAAAAGAAAAAATATTGATATTTTGATTTATTTCTATCAAGATTATGCAAAAAATAAATAATATTCATGAAATATTCCCAGAAGGGATAGGAAGGACAAGAACAGAGAAATAGTAAGGGATGTGAACTTGTGGATTTTATCTATCAACAGTGATGATGACTGAGATGCTAGTTGTTTCCTAGACTTCAATCTCTAAATCGCTATGTCAAATGTTTCTTACAAAAAAAAACTGTACTTTTTGAAAGATAAAAAATCGTCTTATATCTAAAACAGTCAAAAGGATGAAGATTAAAAACCAACCTATTACAATCGACGCAGATATGTTGCTTTTGCTTTGGTGATGAATGGAAATAATTTCGCACTGAGGGAGGCCTTGTAGAGGAGAGATATTGCAAACGAACAACATTTGCTGGTTTTGTAAACATAGTATTACCACCCATCGATACTGGATTTGACGTTTGACCTGAGAGAGCTCATTAATGAATGCTGGACAGGCGTAATTCAAACAATCAAACAAGTGTAAACCTTCAAAGTATACGAATCAGCTCAAATTAACCAGAGTAGTGAGAAATTAGAGTAGATTTTGGGAAATTAACCTAGAGTAAAGAACAGGAAAAGTTTTAAAATTCTCAAGATTATTTAAATTTTCATTAAAAGCAACAGATTGTTTAATTTAATTAAACTCAGTTTAATGATGCACAATCTACTGAAAGTTACTAATCCTCAGCTAATATTTAAAACAATTTCAAAACCGAAAGTAAATTAGCTATCGTTCAGAATTCACAAACTTTTTTTTTGTAATCTTTCTTCTTAATATGCAAAAAAAACAATACAAGTTATCGAAACTAACTGGAATTTGATGAGATGCGCGGTTGCGATTGATGGTACATTCCCCGATTCTGCACCACGGCCATTTGCTGCGAAGAATGAGATGGTGACAAAGGAGGTGGTGCTTTAATGGGCGGTAATTGTGCCGCAAAACCACCATTTTCCGGTATAACTGAAGACACCTGAGGGGCCTAAAAATTTGCAAAACTGAAGAAAATAAAAACTTTGACAAGTATTACCGACCATAACCACTACTTTAAAATATATATGCATTAAGCTAATTAAATATTTATTATATTTACAGTCCAAAAACGATTTGTAAACAGAGACCACCTATCTAAAGTTTATTCTTGGCTCCACTTTAAATAGAGTTCCTTACAGAAACTTGAAAAAATTGGGCATTTATAAAACGGTCGTACTGTAAAATGGTTTCAATCGGTATTTAAATATTAGCAATTCAAAAAAGCTGCTCAAAACAATTTCATAAACAACCACTACACCTAGCATCTTCAACACTAATTAACATTTGGTGGATATTAACTTTCACTCCAATTAGAAATGAGAATAAATACAAGTAAACTGGCATATTTTAAGGTAAATTCTTTTTAGGTAAGATTACTGGGAAAGTCTTTTTTTTTTGGAACACTGCATCTCTAAGATCATATGTACTATGTTTTTGTTTTCATAGCAAGCTTTTACGCATCTGCGAGAATAGCAGATGATGAATCTGAAAGCAAATAAAGGACTTACCATAGGACTCGTGATGGGATAGTTTGATGAAACGGAACTGTTTGAAGGAGGATTTGATGGCGGTGAAACAACTCCGCCATTCGATGACAGCGATGGCGGATGTGATGGGTGTAATCTTCTGGGAAACAAACGAATGATTAACGATTAACTTTATTATAATTTGACCCCAACCCGATTAAGGTGTAGCCCAAGAAACTAAAAAATTGCTTCATTTTACATTATTCTAAGCGCATTGCAATCCCAAAGCTATACGTTTAACGCATAGCTAACCAATTCGGAGGAATACTGCTTTTTTGCGAAGGTTCCATAGCTAGGAGCAGAAAACTATTATAACACGCCTACCCAATATTGTCTTCATATTCTTCATGAAAAGTTGTATCAGCCTCTGCTAATTCAGCCACGGGTCTTCTGTTATCTGATTCACTGTCTGCTTCCGTCTAAAACATTTCAATTAGAAATAGAATTTCTATAAAATATCATCTATGTACGTTACGTTTTAGATGCCTATACTTATTACATTTAGTCCTTCATGTTTTCAGTAAGATCAGATAAAAAAAATGAGGTTTAAACCTATCACTCATCCATTTTTAGAATAAGGACTTATTCTCAGAATTAGAATTGAAACACTAAAATATCTAATCTTTTAGTTTATTAGCTGTACATTACCATATTAGATATACATAAGGTCCCAAATACCAGAAAACTTGCCAATTTGTATTCCGCGGATCGCTTTAGATCCTCCTCAATTTCAGCTAGCTGTACATCCTCTTCGCCGCTCAACCGATATGCACCAATACTTCGTGATGCTGACGGCGGCACAGCTGTAATGCAAGATGTCCAGCTGGTGCTTACAGGTATTACTGATGTTACTGCAGCAGAATCTCTACAATGATCAGATCCTGATATAATCTGCTGCTGTTCCTGAAGCTGTGTCTGCTGCAGTTGTAGCTGTGATTGCAGTTGACGCTGATGAAGTTGCTGCTGCCGTTGTTCTATTTGAAGATGCATTTGCTCCGACAGCACAACATTTGGCATAGACTGATTTGTACAGTTTCCAAAATCGGAAGAATGGTGCTGTTGCTCCTGCATATCCGATTTTTCAACAGACAGTTTTGGACTGCAAAAGAAAGAGCTGGGAAGAGATACCTGTTTATAACATTCAATTTTCCATGGTTAAAAACAAATCGAAATTAACATTATAATGTGAAGAACATGCTAACATTATAACAAAGTAAGGAAAAATAAGGCAAATCGCACCTTCACAATTGCTCAGGAGAGTTTGAATTATAATGATGGTTCAAAATCGGATAATGAAATTGCAAAAAGAAAGTTGTCCAAAATCAATCAGATGGAACTGATGATAAGAAAAACATAAAGAACATACTCTTCGAAACGAACTTCCGATCGAAAAGCCAAAATCCAGGATGAAGAAAATGCGTTTCTTTTTCTGGTTAATTTAATAACAACCCAAACAAGAATTTCATCCCGCGAAAATTTAATACCTCTTGACACCCTTTATTTCGGTAGTTTGAAGTAATCGCAGTTGTCGCTGTCGTTGCTGCAGTCGTTGCTGCTTTTGTTCACTATCATTTGTGAGTAGCACTCGTATGGGCTCAATCTTGGCCACTTCTTCAGGTGTTAATTTATGGACCGCTATACGATGTCGTTTGACGTTTTTTCGACATGAATAACTAAAAACAAACATGAATCAACTGAAATCCAATCAGTTTTAAATTAACTTCAGAGGAGAAATAGTGTTTTCAAACATAAGACCCAAAAACTTCGTTACAGAATACTGAAAATTATTCATCGTATAAAAAAAATGCACACAAAAAATAAAATTCATTGCTTAATAGCGATATAAAAGTATGAGCAAATAAAGGTGAGATAACAAGGAATGGTAAATTGTTTTGTGGAAAAGTTACCACTTAATCTGAAAAACCGAAATTAAAATAGAGTGATAGATAGACTGTGTAACAAAACGGAACAATAGATTCACCAAACTATTAAAAAATCGATAAAGAAGATGCTTGAAATGATACGTAATAGTGCAGAACTTAGAAACATGAACACGCAACTTACATGAACATTAATACATATAAATCGATGCGCATGCAAACAAAAACTTTCTGGTTTACAGCAGAACAACAAAGCGGAAAAGTCTGAAACACTGCGCCTTTTTCAGCCTACATTCGCATCTCTAAAAGATTGTACCCTCGCATCTTCATAAACCAACATGATAAGGGAGGATGAAAAAGATAGTTAACATTGTGATGGTGTGACGAAATATGCGCTCTTTCAGTGCTAAATCATTTTGCCCAATCCATTTGCTAATTAGTGATTTCTAACGCCTGAAATCAGTCTTCAACCAGATGATAAGCTTACAATACGTCTATATAACTTTTCCAAACTAAATATAAAGTTTAATGGCACAGTAAAAGGTTCCAAGAATAAAGCGGAATTTAGAAATTGAAACTTGGAATGTAGAGGAGAGATGTAAAGCTACGGTACACCACAACCACAGAAGATGAAGTGCGAAGATTTGCAGCAAAAATTTTACACAGATTGAGCAACAACCCGTCTGGCACGCTCAACTGAGCAACTGTCCGATCGATCAATCGATTGACTAATCGCATCTTCAAAATTCGAGCCATAAAAAAAACAGTTCATTCGAAAAAGAAGCATTCACTGAGATGCACACTGCTCGTTTTCAACTATATAACCAATCTTATGCTTAATACTACTGAGACTATAAGAAAAAATTCAACATCCAAATGGTTTACGTGTCACAATTCATATGACTCATAGTATGTTAATTGTATGTTAATTATGTGTCATCATAGTATGTTAA